TCTCGGACCGAGACCCCGGCTTCACGGGCAACCTCTGGAGCGCAGTCTTTGTGGTGCTTGGCACCAAGCTGGGCATGTCCACGGCGGACCATCCGCAGACTGATGGTCAGACCGAGCGCATGAATCACATCATCCAGGACGTGCTCCACAGCATTTGCGCTGAGACGCCGAAGCGCTGGATCGCCATGTTGCCACTCGTTGAGTTTGCGTTGAACAACGCCATGCACGCCTCGACAGGCTACACACCGTTCTACGTGAACAGCTTGTCTCATCCGCGCGTCCCGCTGACGCCGCCACGTGGTGGCCTCGGGCTTGGTGGGGGAGGAGAAGCCGATTTAGCTGATCGGCTAGCCGATGTCAGCCCGGCTACCGTTCGTAAACAGGTTGAAGCTTTCTTGTCGACGCGTCTGAGTGTCTTACGACATGCGCGTGGCGCGATGGCTGAGAGCCAAGACAATCAAAAGGAACATGCAGGTGCCAGGGGCAGAGGCAATGTTGAAAGTTATGATGTCGGGGACCTGGTGCTGCTTAACGCTAAGAACCTACCTACATATGCAGTGTCAGCTGTCTTCAAGACGAAGTTGCGCCCGCGCTTCATCGGACCTTTCAAGGTTATGGCCAAGAAGGGCCTTGCGTACACGCTCAATCTTCCGAAGAAGATGCGGACGCACCCCGTCTTCTACGTGGGCTTGCTCAAGCCGTACCAGGACCCGATGCAGGTGTAGATGGAGGCACCGAGGGTGACGGGGTCACAGGCGCGGAGGTCGCGGTCGTTGAGGACGCGACCATCAACGCGGGCCCCTCAGGCACAGGCGGGAGTGCCGCGGGCACTGCAGGAGCCGCAAGCGCAGGAGGCGCAGCAGGCGAGGCCTGCATGCGGGCCAATAGTTCGAGCTGACCCTGGAGCACAGCCTGGTGCCGCTGTAGCTCCGCGAACTCTCGAGCGTGTCGCTCTTCGCGATCGCGAAAGTAGTTCACCCACCCGTTCAGGTGAACGAAGTCGTTCTCCAAGGTCCCAAGGCGGTCCCAGACCTCCCGAGGCACCCCAAGCCACTCCAGCCGCTCAGCGAGCCAATCGAGATCCGTCGCACAACGTGCCAGACGCGCGTCGATGTCGTGGACGTGGTCCCGAAGGCGATCCGCCTGTTGCCGAGTCTCGTGCAACTCGTCGAAGGTCGCGAGGCGGCTTGGCGCGTCCTCCACCGGCGCTGCTCGATGAGCATGGGAATCTGCATTACCATGTGGAGCGCCTCCTGGTGAAGCGGCGGTGTCAGGGTCAAAACCAGTATCTGGTGAAATGGCGAGGATACCCTCACTCCGAGAACTCATGGGAGTTGAGGTGCCCCTCCGCCAGGATTGCCCAGACGTCGTGGACGCTTTTGATCAGCTTGATCACTAGCGCCCCGAGGGCTCAAGGCCGGCACGCCGGCCGTCCCGCGCTTCCCGGCAATATGCTGGGGAGCTGCTGGGTCAGCCACATTGCTCCGAGGCTAACCTTGAGCCACAGCGCTTACTCCCTCGCCGGAAGGAGCGGCTGGAGTGCTCGAAGGAGTGAAGCGCGCAGCGCTAAACTGGGTCTGCGTCTGGGCGAGTGCCGAGAGGCTGCGCTTGGCTCGGACCTTCGCGAAATCGAAGCGGAGCTTGCGTTCAATGCGAACATCCACTGCACTGAAGCTTGCTCGGAGAGCATCCATGGAGCTGAGCTTCCGGCTGTGCTCGGCCCAAGACTCGAACTGAGCTTCGTACTTAATTGAGTCTCCCCCCGGGCTAAGTACCCCGGGTACGTCCGCATGGCGGGCACGGACTTCTGCTGGGCTTGTAGACGCATCCTCTCGCGATACTCCGCGACAGTCGTAGACTGTGGAGTGAGGAGTCGCTCTCGCAGAGACGTACGCAGTGCGAGCTCCTCCGGAGTACGGGCCGCGGGCCCAATGGCGGGCAGCGCGAGAGACTGCTGGAACGCCTGGCGACAAGCCTCAGCGGGGTCGCGAGGCCGGAAGCCGTAGTCGGCAGTGCTGGAGTTCAGCAGAGGCCGCAGCCCGGGGCGCTGGGAGCGCATGGGAGCCATCTGCGCCGCAACCTGCTCGGACTGAGCCTCATCCAAAGGGTTGGAGATGACGGGACCCAGGGGCGTGTCCTCACCACGAGGCGGCGAATACCGTGGCTCAGTGAGCGCGCACGGCTCGTAGAGACCGGAAGAGCGTTCACGGAACGGGTTTGGAGTTCGCAGCGGTGGCCGCGGCCCCTCCCTCGACGGTGCAGCGCGCTCTGCAGGTGGACGGCTCGGCGAGCGCACAGGAGACGTGCGCGCGGGGCGCTCTTGGTCGCGACGGCTCGGGCAGCGTCGCGTGGCTGGGGATGCATCTCCTCGGTTCAGAGAACCCAGGATGGACTCGTTCACCTCACCCTCTTCACCAAAGAGTTCCCTAGGATCCATGATCTGACGGGTTGATGCTCGAGGGGAGCTGGGACTTGCGCGCTGCGAGCTGTGCTCCTGGCGGTGCGCCGCGAAGTACTCGGACACCGAGAGCCTGAAAGGCGTCGAGGGTGTGCGCGCGGGCGCTGGCGTTCGTGAAGGTGCGGGGGCACGCAGTGCAGCAGCACGAGAGGAGCGAGGCTCCGAGGCGGATCTCGCGAGAGGCTGTCTGTGGTCGAAAGACCAAAAGTCTTTATGACTTGAAGTCATGTGAGGGCGCGTTGCGCCGAGAAGTTCTCAGAGAAGTCCACGCGATGTGGATTGACTCGTTCGAGAAGGAGGCTTGACGGACCAAGTTTGACCGTTAAGCGTGAACACCCGTGTCCACGGTTTGGTGGGGGAGGGTGTAACGGGGTTACAGGAGAGTTACCCGAAGGGTTACGAAGTGGGTACACACTGTCTAACCTAAATCAGTAGAAGGATCAGTACATGACGTCAGAGCCACTGATTATGCATATGACCAGGGTTCACTATGCTAGATAGTGAACCGGATACATTCACACCGTAGGTGGCTTTGCCGTAATAAAGGGAAATACATCCAGTTTGAGATTCACACAGTTAAGAGTTAAGGGTTGACTCTTGGAGTCCGTAACGTGTACGGACTCGTACGTTCTCGAATTAGAACGGACTATCTTAAGCTGATAAGTCTGGCGCCTCATACCCTGCTAAAACGTTACCGACAATTTGGTCCTCACGCGTCGTCGTTCCAATGTAGGCAAAGGCCTTCGTCAGCGACTCCAACAGCCACGCGCCTCTCGTAGATATCCACTGAACGACAAGCTTGGGGCACGCGTTGGCATACGCCGCCGCGCCGCGCCGCAGGGAGTGGCTCGTCATATTGGGCATCACAGCCCGAGCTGTGGTAGGAGACATTTTGTTTACGGTATCGCGGATCACCTCTGAAATATAGCTAGCCAACTTGGTCGTTTCCGCTCTTTCTTGAGAGGCGGCTTAATCGCTTCATCGTTGGTCTCCTCCAAGGTTTCCAAATAAACCACAGCTTCCTCTTGAGAATACGTGCGACCTCAAGGTAAATTCGGATCGGTGAACCCGGACACCAACTAAAAAAAGATATTCTAACGGTTGGCAATAGCACACAAAGAGCATCCCAAAGGCATGTAGCATACATTGCTGTTATCATTCAGGAGAGTTGTATATCGAACCACCTTGAACTACGGAGGTCTTAATCCGCGCAATGTTCAGGAAGAGCTCCCCAGATGCCGCGACCGTCAACTGTTGCTTCCGGGCGAAGCAAGTGTCGATAGCACGACCGAATGTGTGCCACATCATCGTTAACAGAGCTGCATCGTTGAGTCCAGCAGCAACATCTGCGTACATGACTAGGTGCTCCACAAGTGCACAAAGATCATCGACTTTGAATCCAGACGCATGGTGCTTCTGCACGTTAGCGCGTAGGGTTCAATAGCGCTGGCCATTTTGTCGCGTATCTTGGCGATATCTCTCGAGTCGGCTAGGAAAGTTGGGTAGCGTTCATGGAGCAGGTTGAGAACTTGCGAAAAGTAGCCTAGAGCGGTTGACTGAGCAAGCAAACCATCCGCGGCATGGGTCCTGTTGCTTTTTTGTCTGTACCGAAATATCGAAAAAGCTGTAAGCAATGAGAAGAAGTTTGTGTCGGAAGGCTGACACCGTTAGCTATCGAGCTATGCATGCTATCTAACACCGATTTCGGCAATCCTGTCGAAGAGAGAAACTTGCCAAACACTTTTTCCGCGGCGAGTTATTGGGTAATTGTGCCAGCCGATGTGTCGAGACCCCGAGAAGCTCGCTGCATCTCCTCTCTCCTTCTTGAGGCGAGTCTGAAAGTGATACTAGGAGATTCTGCGCTGGCTTTCTATCTATAGCAGAGCAAGCTCTCTTACAGGTTGGGACGCATTGCATCTTTGGGTGTTTTGTTCCGGCACATAGTGCACTTATCTGGTAAGAATAACAAGCCTGTTTGGCTTTATATCTTTACTTATTTGCGCGTAGAAGGAAATTCCAGACGATTCCAGAAATAATTTGTGACAGAATAAACCTAACCCTAATTAGCGACGATGGATGAAATTAGATCATTGAGCCTCAAATGATAAAAAATAGGTCATTGAGCCTCAAATGATAAGAAAAAATCGCTGATTGGCTATAGCAAGCCTATCATAGGGGTCGGGTGTCCGGTCAAATATTACTTATCCTAACGTATAATACTAAGTAGTACGCTGCGTTATAACACGGTATTCTGTAGATAGAGCGTTCTATTTGAGTTCTCTGTTATTTCCGCTATTTTCCGACAGTGCTGACAGCTCGGGTGGTTCAGCCACCTGGGTTTATTGAGGGCCCATCTGTGAGCAGGGGTTGTCACGGGTTCGAGTCCCATCGAGCACGTTAATTTCCCGCATTGTCAAAACGGTAAGTTTCTCTCCAAATCCCTTTCATTGTCACCGTTAATCAAGCACCTAGACGAACATATCTTTTTTTTTGCCAGTCTAATCTTCGATTACGATATCCTCGAGTGTCTCCATGACCGAGCTCACGAACGCGCCGCTCTCTGAGCCCTACCTAGTGTCAGCGCCTTCTTGCAACTCCCACGCCGCCCGAATTTTGAGTCGTAAACGTCGTGCTTCGAGATGTGCCACTGACTTGAGTCGTCGTTGAAACTGCATGCCTGCACGCTCGACGACTTTGAGCGGGGTTTCTTCCCAGCCTGTGAGAGCCACGACGTCACCAAGATGATGTCGGGATCTTTTGGGTTACCGGCTTTAGGGTAGGTGACCTTGCCGGACCTCTTCCATTCCTCGATCAGCTTCGACATGATGTCCTTGAACGACTTGTAGATGCCCACGTCGCAGTTAGGGAGTAAGCCCCCCCGGGGTCACCGCCATCTTGATCCCTTATCGGAGCAGCGCTGCTTGACCTTCTTTCCGATATGAGTTCGCATAGTATCCCATACGATGAACTTCCCGGGTACTTAAGTCACTGCACGGTAGTACTAGTCCGGTCGGTTGAGTAGCACCTCCTGGTCGACCTACGCTCTTTCCTGAAAGACAACGTAGCACCCACCCAAGCGCTCGCTCGCGCCGCGCGTTTTGCGCTTCCGGATTATACAGGGAGGGAGCTTCCATCCCGATGCCGTGACCACAAGCATCACGGTTATGCGCATGGACGCAAAATCCGTGGAGCGGATGACGACATGCTTGCTCCCGACTTCATCGACCGTGTAGGTCCGAGCATCCTCAAAATGAACCGCTGTTTCGTTCATCAAAAAGGTACGATTCAGGTTCATCTTGGGCTTGGGGACCTCCAAGAACTGCATGAAGGACACGGCTCGATCCACCAGCACCTCGTCCGACAATGTTGTAAGGTTCGTCCGCTTGCGAAGGGTGAGGTCGTTCCGCGCCATGAAGTTGTGCGCCCACTCGTCCGACGCAACGAACCAAATCGGGTCGCCTTCGTGCTCTTCTTCCGTGCGGCTGTTCTGGAATAGCGCTAGCGCCGTCGAGGCAATCCAAATTCTTGTCACCTTCTCTTTGTGGATTTGCTTGTCGTACAACACCTCCATGAGCTGATCCTCGAGCGTTCCTGGGAGAAGATTTCGGCCACCTCCAACGACACGACGGCGAGCCCCGTACTCGGCGAAAATCTGCTTCCGATCACGCCACCACTGACGATAGCAGGATGCGGTAATCCGCCATCTAAGCTGGCGAAAATGGGCTGTGGCGCGAGAGTGCGCAAAATCCTTCAAAGCGACAATACCGTATTGCACGAGATCTCTGCAACCCTGTAAAAAGTACATCTCAAGTCATTTGTAAAAACTCAAAACTTCGTAAAAACTCTGAGCCCAGCCCCTCGAGCTACCACAGCTCACCACTCGTTCTGGGGCCCTAATTTTAAATCACGCAGAAGACAACACCAGGATGCGGCCTGTGCCGCATCTAAACAGGCAAAAGGCAGAAGCCATCGAGGAGGCGAACCTACGCGAGGTAATGTCCGAACTAGCTGCAAAGTACAAGGTCCACCGCACGACGCTGTACCGTTGGGTTAAGGCTCAAGGTGTGGTCAAATCGGCGCGACCCTCGAAGACTTTTGCAGTGGACACCCCGCGAGGACCGCCAATCACCTATCCTGAGCTCGAGAAGAGGTAATAGTAGCGTACCATTGTTATTATGTCTTTAATTGTGTACCTGGGACTAAATGCTTGGCTCTGTAGGCTTCTGAAATGGGTCATCGAGATGCGGCGCAATCGCTCTAAGTGTGTGACGACTGAGTGCCTCATGATCATGGGCGCGCGTTTCGAGCCAAGGCTGCTGTCAGATCGATCGGAGCGCGCGGTACTGGAGTACTTGGGCCGTATCCGTCTGCGCAACAAGTTATCAGTCCGACGCATCACTCATCGTGGCACCAAACAGCGTTCTGAGCTTGAGGTAATATTTGTTTTTAACTTATCTCAGGTTTGAATATTTATTTAGAAGCTTAAAGTTATTGTTTGGCTTTCAGAATGTTGCGAGAGCGTTTGGAGCGAGCATGCGCTGGTCGACGGAGAACAAAAGTATTGTCTCGGTATTTCCTGGCCACAGCAAATACGACCACGTGTACAATATGGATCAAACATCAATCTATATTGATATGAATCCTAGTACTACGATCACTTTCACCGGTGATAAGAACGTCGACGTGGTCCAGTCGATGACGGAAAATGCATTTCGGGCATCCGTTTTCTTGTGTGCGTCGGCAACAGGAAAAAGATGCCCCCACTCATTGTATTCGCAGGCGTTCCGAATGCTGACGTGCACCAAGAGCTTTTGAACAACCCCCTGCACCGCAATCGGGTCGTGCTCACAGTGCAGCGTAAAGCATACTGCGACGAGCGCGTGATGCTGGACTGGATCGACGAGGTAAATGCATACTCCGTGCGAATAATATTTCAATGTTACCTTTGCTAACGTGTTTTAATAACTGTAGGTTTGGGGGCCTGAAGCATGCAACCAGCGGCTTCTTCTGCTGGACAGCCTAAAAACGCATAAAATGGCAAGTGTGCGCGCCAAGTTGGAGGAAGATTACTGGTCGGAGGTAGAGTTTGTTCCACCAGGGATCACGGGGCTCGCTCAACCGATGGGCGTATCTGTGATGCGTTCCTTCAAGTCAAGATGCCGAAGACTCTACGTTAACTACCATATCAACCAGCCTCCACGGCAGCCCGGCGTTTTTTTTATGACGCAGATCGTGCTGTCGGCGTGGGAAAGTATTGAGGAGAAGCGTATCGCTAGGGGATTCGTGAAGGCAGGGCTCGTGCCCATCGGGCCGCGAGAGGCTGACGGCACCTTCAGAGTTCCGGAGCCGACAAGTGAGTCTGTTAGCGTAGAAGAAGAAGAGTCTGAAACTGAATAAAACTGCGTGGATTTTTCACTTTAATAAAAATGGATGTTGGTTGTACAGAAGGGGTGTCAATTTAATTCTTTTCGTCGTGAATTGGGTTTTTACGCACGGTTGCATCAAATCCGTGGTTGCAGAGATCTCGTGCAATACGGTACGTTACAATAATTCTTTCCCAAAAAATTACCTTCACTGCATCATACTCTAAGCTTGTTCCTAGGCTCTCACGTCTCGCGCACCAATCCATCCAGCCAATCAACGACATCGCTCCACGTGGCCAAGTCGAAGTAAAAGATCGCGACAACACCACATCAACCCGATACAGAGTGCCAGTCACAAAGCCATTCCCCAGCTGCCCCCGAAAACCTTCCTTCTGCGCAGCACACGTATCCCTATCATGTCTAGCTGGCAGTTCCTGTGTGTGGCGCTGCTCGCGCTGCTCGGCGCGCTGCAGCTGGTGGCCGCCGACTCCAACGTGATCGTGCTGACCAACGCCGACTTCGAGCACAAGACGCAGGCCGGCTCGGGCGCCACGACCGGCGACTGGCTCGTCGAGTTCTACGCGCCGTGGTGCGGCCACTGCAAGAAGCTGGCGCCCATCTACGAGAAAGTGGCGGACGAGCTCAAGGGCGAGGTGAACGTGGCCAAGGTGGACGTGACGGACAACGCGGAGCTGGGCAAGCGCTTCGGCATCCGCGGCTTCCCCACGGTGCTGCACTTCAGCCACGGCAAGTCGTACAAGTTTACGGGCAAACGCACGCTGGAGGACCTGGCGGCCTTCGCGCGCGGAGGCTTCAAGAGCGTGGACGGCGAGGTCGTGGGCGCCGCGCCGAGCTTCCTGGACTTCGCCAAGCAGCAGGCGCTGGACGTCAAGAGGGACTTCATCACGCTGCTGGCCACCAAGAAGAACGTGCTGCTGGTCACGTTCTCCAGCGGCCTGCTGCTCGGCCTGCTGCTCGGCTGCATGTGCGGCTGCTGCACGAGCCGCGGCTCCAAGGCGCCCAAGAGCAAGAAGGAGTAGGCCGACATGGGCTGCTGCAAGTTGTGCGGACGTTGTAGTTCTCGGTGAGCTATGGCTCTGTGTGTCTTTACATTTTTTAATGGAGCTGTTTGCACTGCAACTTGGACAAGAAGGCGTTGATTGTCATGGGCTACCTACCTACAAAGCTTGTGCAATGCGTTGGTTGAGCTCCATGAAGCTGTACTTGAGCTCCAAGCTCTCGAAAAGCGACTCTTCCACGCCCTTGTAGCTAGCGAGCATCTCGTCCACTTCATTGAGCTTGTCGGGGTCACGCTCCTCGAAAAAGGCAACCAGCCGGGCTCTATACGGGGTCGCGTGGTTCGTAGCGGGCTGTGACGAAGAGAACGACAGAGTTTGAGTGTCTTCGTGGCGTTCAGAGGGAGAGAGGTACGTCGGGCTCATTGATGCAGACGGAGGCGGACGGCCATTCAATAGCGCAATGTCATCCTCGCTCAGCGTGTATGGAACAGGGGACTCTTCCTCCTCGTCCAGACCTCCTTCGCCAGTCTCTGCAGCACTGTGGACACCATTTTGGATTGAGAGGGGTTCGAGAGCAGTGGTCTCAGCCACCACTGAGAGATCCAGCATCTTGATAGCTGCCTCGCCCCCATCTTCATTCGTGCCCTCTTGAGTTGATGGGCTGTTGTGCTGCTGCTGCTGCTGCTGCTGTTGTTGCTCCTTCAATTCATCTCGAACTTCCTGGAGCTTCTTTTCGCTGTCTTCGGCTTCGTTGATAAGCGTCCGGATTTGAGTCAACAGCAGCTCATTCTGCTTCTTGAGTCGCTTGTTCACCATTCGGGCCTCGCTCGCTTCCGCCATGGCCACCGCGATCTGGCCTTCAGTCTGAGTGCGCATGTTGCGTATCTCGGTCACGAGCACACGCCTCTGACCGCGAGCTTTCACTAGCTGTTGCGCCAGCTGAAGACGCTCCTGCTCCCACTTTTGCATTTGTTCTTCGTACTGCTGCTTCGTAGCGGCCATCTCACGAGCAACCTTCTCCAATCGCGTGGAAGTCCCAGTTAAATGATTGTTCAAAGGGTAGCCTAACTCTGCTCGGCATCGCAGCACGGCTGCTTCCGCCTGACCAAGCTCCTGCTCGAGCCGATTACGAGTCGTTGAATCCATTTCGCTTGCAAGAGTAGAAGCTTCTTCGTCACCACCATCGAAATCGTCTGTCTGCATGAACACAAATTGTAAACACACATATCGTTAGGGGATCGCACAGGCAAGACGTCTATGTTAACTCACATACCATAGCCCAACGGTGTTTTTCTTCCAGCAGAGCATCGCGTTCGGCCTGTATTTCACGCCATGCCTCTCGTTCCCTCTGTATACGTTGCAGTTCGCCAGCGATAGATGCTAGCTCTTGCTCTTTTGCCTTCACCTCGTTTGCGGAATTCTCCTTCTCCACAATCGCCATGTGAGTTTTCGAACGCTCTTGGTCGCGTTCTGCCGTTAACTTCGCCACACTGTCCTCCAGGCTTTCCTAATTCGTGAAAGGCAAAACCACGATTAGTCCCGAAAGCAAAGGCACCTCGAGGAGCACACTGCATGATTCGTCAGCATACCATTCGCTCCATCAACTGCATGTTGAGCCCATTAAGCTCCTCCAACAAACTGCGAGCCTCGCTGTCCGACCCACCACCACGTTGGCTCCTCGAAGTTGGCACCACAGCCGTCTCTTCCTGCGAGCCAAAAAGCCTCGATGCCAAGTGGCCAGCCACGTTGATCGGTGCGCTTAGTAACCAGCTCTGCTGGGCAATAGCTTCGGGGATATAAGCCGAATACCCCGACTGCACCTCAGGCGGCGACCCCGGGCTGACGATGAGCGCCGTGGACAACGCCGCGTCGCGTTCTTCGTCTCGCGCCTTCTCTGCCTGGACAGCTTCGTCCAGGGCATCTGCTGCAGCTGTCGCCGACTGCATAATGCTGTTATTTACCACTTGCACCTGGTACAGAACATTTTTCCTATGGCGGAATGCCAATAGCGTCAATGAGCCTAGGCGGGGGTACCGTTCCTGAAGAGGTGCCAGGAGAAAACTTACCCGCGGAGTCTTGAGTACGAATTGTCCCAAACCAGTGTCGCCTTCCCTGGCCGCAGACACCGATACAACCCTTCTATGGCTCGCCCTGTCGTAGTCGCTACGTATCTCGTGCGCGCATGCACGATCTCCACCGGCTGCTGGTAAGGCTCGGGGGCAAAGGAAACACTGAAATCAACGTCGAAATCCTCCAGCTCAAACTTCCACACAATAAACTGCGGCCCGTCGTCACCTTTCTTGGCCTTCACCTGCGCCACCACCTCATGCTTCGACCCTCTTGGCACATAGAACTTCTCCAGCGGGAAAGGCTGCGAGATAAAGTCAACCGCCGTCATGTGCATCCGGGCGCCTTTGTCCTCGTCCCGCTCAGCCACGAAGCTGAGCCAGTCAGGGTGCAGCTCCAGCATGCCAGACCGATGAGCAGCCAAGAACGCCGTCATGTCCCCGCACCACTGAGCGATCACCGCGTCATTGCGGCTGCCCTTGGGCGGGAATTCAGGCAGCACTGGGGGTGCGTCGGCCTCGTCGCGCAGTATCTGGGGCTTTGGCGCCGCCGTTTGGATTGAATTCAGCACGTCGAACAGCGCGTACAGTGGTCGCTCGATGCAGTAGGAAGCGGCGCCTTTGGTTACCACGAACTCGACGGTGTAGGCGCCCAGGCCAGAAGCAGAGAGCGATGAGGCGATCGTTTGCGTGACGCTTGGGGTTGCAGCGTCGACGCTCGTGACGACAACGTCCAGGAAGTGGTCGGCGTTGCAGGCATCGCTGTCGTTGCTGGGGGTATGCGGGGACTCGGTTGCAGGGGTTGGGGCGTCCACAGCGCTGGTGTTGAGAGCAGGAGAGGGTTCCGCGGAGGCCAGGACCGCATCCGCCATCCCGAAAGAGATGATGAATTTTCAGATAAACTCAGATTTATAGATTTAGAATTAGAATTTTGGATGCCGATCCAGGCTATAGGATGGATTTAGAAAACGAATGAACAAGCAAAGTTCAAGGCGCTTGCGGTGCTTGATGTCCCGCCAAGCTGCTTGCAGACTTTCAGATACCGATGCACCCGCGCTGGCATTCGTTTTGCCACATTATACGTCGTCAAGACAGTCCGATCCTCACGAATCATGGCGGCAACTCTCTAAAATATACACAAAGGACTCGAGTACTATACAGTACCTACTGCAAGCTCATACGCTAGCTGCTATCGGAGACGCACCATAGAGGCTGGTCCGCTGCAGCAAACACGCTTGTCTTCAATATGCAATGGCGCTCAAGCTGTTGTATTCGAAATACCTCCCCTCGCCAGCCTATTGAACGGCTTGCCGCAGACGGAATGAGCAGATTCCTCTAGTTATTCTCATTACAGATGCACTGCTGGCGTACGCGCCGCTTGATGGACTCTGGCAGATAGAAGAGAGAGAGCTGTAGAGAATGAGAGATAACGCGACGCATGCGAAAGCGTGCACAATACAATACAACAATACAACTAGTGAGCGATTAAGGGTTGGGCATGCCTCGGCCGTAACATGGTAAACGAGGGCCGGAGAAGCGCTACGATAAACTCACCAACGCAGCGCGTGGCACACGCACTCACCGAAGCGTCATGCATGCGTTCAATGATAAATATCCCTACAGACTGAGACTGAGCGACAGGAGTCGCCAGTCGTGGGGCTTCATCGGCTGTCCTTTGCTACCTATCTTCTCAAAGCTGCGGAACAGCGTCGCGAGTGGGAGCAGGTTCATTTGGAGCTGCTGCTCGACCGTGTCCAGCTGGGCGAGCGACACCCGCTGCAGCCTCGCCGTGTTCATGAGCAGCAGCGAGCGCAGCTTCTCCAGCGTCCGCACGGTGCGCACGAGCTTGTGCTCGATCGACGGGTCCGCGGGCGGCTCGGGGCAGAAGGAGAACGCGGTCTGCAGCCCCTGGATGACCATGTCGATGACCTCGAGGTACTTGCGCCGCAGCTCCGCCAGCTTGGGCGCGTTGCTGTCAGCGGGCGGAGGCAAAGAGGCGGCGGCGGCAGCACGTATCCGAGCTGTGGAGTTCGTAAGCGGCGGCAGTGGTAGCGAGGTCGGCATGGACGTCTGCGGCAGTATGGGCGGGCTGAGACGCACGCGCTTGTGCTCGGGCGCGCTGCAGTCGGGGCTGGTGCGCCGCGGCTTCCTGAGTCTTGTTGTCCTGCGTCGCTGTTGCTTCCTCTAGGGCCACTGCGTTGAGTTCTTCTTCAGCAAAACCCATTGCCGTCCTGACTCTGAGGAGTCGGAGTATGGCATGCTCTCTTCTCTCGCGCCTGATGCGAAGCTCATTGTTCTGCCTTCGGGCTTCTGCAACGCGTAACTTTTCGTCCAATAGAACGCGTTGGGAAGAGGAGACGCCATGCAGTCTCGCATCGACCGCTTCTTGCACATCTTGTTGTAGCTGGACCACCTCATCTTGTACATCCCAGAAGCGATAGATTGGCGACCAAGGCTTTAATTCGCCCAGTGTTCGTTCTAGGGTGGCCGCTGTCGTCTGTAGAGCTTGGAAGGGGCCAGGGGGGGCTTCGGGGGGTTGGCTCTGTGTCGGTCCAGGCATTGGGAGGCCGTGGGCGTCCAGATCCCGTATGGGAGGCCGCTCTGCCGCTTGAACTACTGCGTTCTGACCGCAGAGCATAGCGAGCTCGCATTCCTGCTCGCACTGGTCCAAGTAACGAGCCATCCGTCTGTAGTTAGAGCAGCCGTCGACCCACTCCTGCAGCCCCAGCTTCCTAGCCTCCCCTTCGACGAACTTGAGCTCCTTGTCCGACACGACGATGGTGACGTCTCCAGCTTCACTGCCGACCGGATTTCGGGCGACCAAATTGGCCAAGTCGTCCAGTGTTGCCGTGATGCCTCTCGTCCACAGCCAGTACAACAACTTGGATGCCTCGTACCCTATAAATGTGAAAATCACAACAAGTTAGCAAAACAGAAATGTTGCGAATTGATATCGAAATTGCTACAAACGAAAACATACCACAAGGTCCCTCCGTGCAGACCAAAAGCTCGTCGTTGTGGAGCCACGCCGCGATTGTCAGGTTAGCCGATCCAGACCAAGTAATTACTGCAGTCCTTGTAATGATTGCCGTACCGACACTCGATGCCTGCAAGAATAAACCGCTTCACACACCGGACGGCAGCCTTGCAGGTAAGGGTCAACATCTTTGGCACGTAAACCTTCACGCCCTTCCCGACGAGCCACACAAGGACATCTACGAACCCACAGTCGGTGACAGCGTAATACGCCATCCACACCTCTGTCACGTCGTCACGACAAAGCTGCTGCAACATCTCAATCCGCACGCTCCGGTTGGCAGCCTTGAAATGGACCGTAGTCGCCTCAGCGAGCTCCTGCTCGATGGAATCGTGCAGTCGTGCCAGTGTGCTTGGTACCACGCCTGCGTACCTTGCCTTTTGCCTCCCGCTCAAGTTCGGCGGCAGCGAGCGTAAGCGCTGCGCCAGGACGGCAGGGTCGTGAATGGGCACGCGACCGCTGCCGATCCTTGGCTTCCGGTCGACAATCTTTCGGATAGTAGCGGGGCAGCGATCGTAGAGGTCTGCAATGTAGGTGACGTCGACCTGGCCGGCCTTCTCCTTCTTCTTGCCGTCAGGAGGATACACGAAGACCTGGGCGGGGACCAGCACGCCTTGGACCTCCTCGTCGGTCATGTGGGGCCGGCGCACCACCCCACTGGCCTGCTCCAGCTCTTCCTCCACCTCCTTGGTCGTCGCCGTGCTCGCGCGCGCTTTGCCTTTAGACGGCATCTTCTTTTGTGGCGCGCTTCCAGCAATGCAGCTGTCGATACCTACAAGGCGAGAAGTTGAAGTGCTCCGTTCCAAATTGTTATGTGCAATCCAAACCAAACTTTTGAAAACAAAAGCTGAATTTTCCAAAGGAATTTTATATCGAACAGAAAATGGCTCGAGTGAGCGATAAAAAATTCAGGCGGGTCGGATGCTGGCTGATGGGTTTCACCACTATTTCCGGGACGGATAGTGGGTGCCACTCTGATCATATCATATTATTAAAACAAGTCATAGTCATATGCTATGACGCTTCATAAGCCAAGATTCAAGTTTCTTAATCTGAAACGACCAGAAATCGTGATTCTTTTCGACTGGTGTGCAGAAACACCAACTCGACTCGACGTGAAGAAGCAGAAGGAAGAGAGGTCTACGGGACAGCAGCGCATGCGCTCCGAGGCTATCAACACGCAGGGAGGCGCGCCCGGGGACCGGCCGCCGGCAGCACCGGACGCAGCCACAACGAATGTACCTGGTAACGTCGCTGTAGTGGCCGCCTCGTGCGTGCCTTCCAGCTCCACAGGCGCCGAGTCGCCCGCAACGCCCATGGAAGTGGCGCTCGCGACGCACGCTGGAAGCAGCAGCAGGACCGGCACGGTGGAGCAGGAGCAGAAGCCGGCCAACCGACAGCAGGACGAGCCCATGACGGCGTCGCAGGTGACGCAGATGCAGAACGAGCAACGGCGCGAGCGCCACTGGCGGCGAACGGTGCACAGCGAGCTGAGGGACCGACTGGTGGCCGCCATGTACGTGCATTTAGGCAGGAGAGGGTATGGAATCGCCGCTATCTAATCAGCGGTTTGGTGGTGCACAGGATGGAGCAACTGCAGAGGATAACGGGGGACCCGGATGTGCGGCATTTACGGATGTGTGCTTCCCGCTACGAGTCGTTCGTGTGGAAGAAGAGCGCCAGCCAAGTGCAGTACAAGCAGAAGTTAGAGCATCGCATCGAGTCACTGCGCCGCCAGCCATCGCACGGCGAGAACGGAGGCGTGGAAGTCACGGTTCGGCTGGTGGAAGGCCACCGACTGAATCTGATTCGGTCGCCAAATCCGACTTTGCAGAGACAACCGGTCACTGCTGCAGCGATGCCGGTGGGGCCACCTTTGGTGCCGTGTCCTTATAGCCGACACCAGACGCAGCAAGAGGACAGTCTCATTAGCGCGGGATGCTCGCCCATCGGGGACCTACATCGACACAGCAGCCGATCCAGTAGTCGCAAGTCGAGTAGCTTCAGTGGCGGCAAACGATCCGGCAAGAGGAAGACGCGATCCTCTTCCTCGTCATCGTCCTCCTCGATGTCTTCGTCATCAGAGACGGACGCTCGGCGTGACGAGATGTACTTTGCCAAGCTGCGCCTGATGAAAACTCAGTATCGCGACGAGGTCGCGTTGGTGTTTCGGGAGCTCTGTCGCGTTAACACGGTGATTCAGCACTCGGCCAGTCTGCGGCGCCACGAGTCCAACAACCTGGGCGACTTCCTGGCCAACCTGAAGAAGATAATTTATTTGCTGGAGCAGCAGCCAGGCGAGGCGTGCGGCATGATCCCGGCTCGCAAGCGCACTGTCGAGTATCTAGACGTGGTCGAGTCTCACATTCAGCGCAAAGTGCTGCCGATCCTCCACCGCCTGCGCCACACGTACTCCACCATCCTGCGCCCCATCGTGCTCAACTACATGAAGAACAGTTTCCGGTACAACCGACGATTTTAATCTGCACCAGAAGCAGAAATAGCAAGCAGATGATGGTGAAAGACAACTCCATTGAGGTAGCGCTCGACACAGCGAAAACTAGTCCGGTACACTGGGATGTAGTCCAATGCATAATAAAGGGAAGAGCACAACTTAATTCACGCATGGTTAAAGCTGAAGCCAGCATGCCACTTGCACGTGAAGTAAATACTAAAGGTAAGCGTTTCTGTTTTCTACTAGCTTCAAACAATCTCAACCAAGGTTCGCATTAAATGCGAACCTTGGTTGAGATTCTAGTCTGTCTAACGTCATCTAAGGGAAATTAGGCTCTACATGATACTTGTAGCCGTGAACTAGACGCGAATGCGTGGATCGGCGCTGTTGATTTGCTGGTTTGATGTAGCCATCACTGAAGTCCATACTTTAATTAAGATAAAAAATTGTCCAAAAGTTTTGCCGCGGCCCTAAATCGTGTCAGTTGTATACTAGCCTATCTACACGCCCAAAAATCTAGCTCCGCGTCACATGCCAGCTATAGATCGATCTGATAGGTACAACATATCTAAATAGCGAGCTGTAACTCTTTCTAGAAGCTGAGATATGGATGAATATCGTGAAGCTGCCGACAGATTGAATTTAAAGTTGAATAAACTATGTTTAAAAACCAGAACCGTGATTATTCGCCAATCAACCTTTGGCTACATGTCTAGTAGCCAATCATAGGTTATAGGGGTAGGGTTGTGCGCTGCCGACGCTCGTGCCGACGTCGGCAGCCCCTCGATATATGTGAACGAGGCATAGGAACCACTAGTTCGCCACGTATCACTTTTATATCTGCGACTCTGCTAACAAAAGATAATAAGAAACAATGGGCCTGCAAGATCTCGCTCCAGCAAACACACAGAGGGCACAGAAGACAGCGATCAATGCGTTTGAGCGTTTCCTTGCGTCAGAGGACGTTAACATGGGCTTCATCGCTGCGTGCCTTCTCAACGACAAGAACGGGTCTGCGTGTGTGAAGCTCATGGATCGCTTTGCCGTATACCTGGCTTTTGTGGACGGCAGAGCTGAGAAACCGCTCGCGCGAAACTCGGTCATGAGCTACTACCGCCACGTCAAACATTGGTTGCTTGACAGCTATCCCAAGCATCGAGAAGATGCTACTGAAAATGGCGCAAACGCTGGAGCGCTATTGCCTGAAACGAAGCGAGGGAGGGACGGTCAAGATAGCGCCGACCTGCACCAAGGAGGACCTGCGAATCCTTATGGACGGAATCTACTATGACGCGGCAAGTTCTAAGGACTACCAGGACGCTGCATTGCTTGCGCTGATGTGGTACACGTTTGGAAGGGCTTCAAACCTCGGTTTTGTGGCTAAGAGTAGCTTGTCCGTCAGCTCCGACGGTGTCATTTTCGTCCGGCTGATACGTGTGAAGACCTCAGAAGAGCAAGGTCTCTTCATATTCCCGGAGAAGGACAGCTTTATTACCTGCCCTCTGCACGCTGTAGCGATGGCACTCGTGATGCAAGATTTCCCATCGTCTCAGGTCCTGGAGCATCCTCAGCTGTTTGATGGTAGCGCCGAGAATTTGGCTGCTCCTCCAGACGACGTACCGCTAGTTGAGGCTCTGGCCTGCTGCTCTCTTAGTGATGCATGTAATGACTCTCGCGGTGATGATAACCGGAAACAAAAAACAGCTTGAAGATTCACGTACACGTGAACCGCAATGTCAAGGCTGCATCGAAAGCACAGGCAAGAGCTAAGCCAACTGTAATGGGTCTACTTTGGCTCACTACTTTAGCTTACACGTGTGCGCGTGTATGTGAGGAAGCGTAGCTTAGTTTAAATTAGAGTTAATTATACTCGGGCCTCCGAGTATAGATTAATCTAAATAAACGATCCAAATAATGTTTTTGGGTTAAAATGAGAACGGCTATTTTTGTTTTATGTTTCTGACTTCCTCTAAATGTAATATTCTAAACTAGGAATGTGCCAACGGCTGGTTGGCAGGATTCTGCTAACATGCAAGTCACTCATTGGCTAAAAGATGCTGCTTTCAGCCAATAGGAATCCTAAATGTGTATGGACCACCCGTCGTGGTGGTCGTAAATGTATGTAGCCATTTGTGTACCTTACACCAAGGTCGAGGAAGTGTTCAAACCTCTAACAGGCAGAGTAACAAGTGACTGTAGCCACTTGTGCGTGTAACCCCGTTACACTATCCCCCCGTCAAGGTTAGACGTGCCGGTCTCGGCACGTCAACCACCATTGACCGTTTGGCCAATGCGTGACGTTTGAAGAGAGCGTGCTCGTTCCGTAACGAGTACGTCCACGTTGAAGACCCCTGGCGCAGTAGCGGAGGACATCTCTGCTGCTGCTGCGTATAATGCGCGGCAACGTGCGAAGCGCGTCACTGCCACGGGGGCAGGACCCACAGCCTGCCCTTGAAGTGCCTTCGGGCGCTGTTGTTAACAACAGCACTCGTATTACTTTCCAGCGTGTAGCGCATGGTGCGCTTCGTACGCCCTCACCATGTCCGGGACGTCTTCGAGCAAGACGTTCCGCGGCTCCCATGTATCTTGGTTGGGAGGGAATCCTCTCCAACGGATACAAAAACGAACCGGTTGCCTGTTCGTTCTCGGGATACTGTGACCAACTATCCGCTCAACTATCCATCGAGTTGAGCCGTGTGCGTCACGAATTTGCTGTGGTGGGGGTGGAAACACGCCCCGTGTGTGGTCAACTTGGTGTTGACCCTGATCTCGCGTCTCCCCACGACCGAGTTCCGGTCGTTGAGTACGTCCAGAGCACTGATTTCGGCGCTCTGAAGTATCCTCAGGTTGCGGCGGCCTCCCAGACCGCCTCGATTGTTCTGGCCAAGCTGGACCATTAGCTCGACCCGCTTGCTCCAGCGCGACTTCGCGCTGGAGAGGATGACTGCTTCCGCCGAGTCTTCTGTTTCGGTTCAGCCGAGCTAGGTAGCTCGTGCTGCAGATATGGCTTCAGCCGTTCGACGTAGAATGTCGGATGGAGGCGCATACTAGACGGTATGTCCAGTGGGTAGGCGTTGCCGTGCCGTGCCAACACAGTGAACGGCCCGATGAAGCGCGGAGCGAGCTTGCTCGCCCCGATGTCGGAAACTGCATGTTTAGGCAGGTTTTGAGTAGCTAACAAAACCAATGAACCCTTCTTGAATTCATTTGTGTTGCCCCTGCCAACGTTGTCTGCGTTCAGCTTCTGTCGATCAACAGAAGCTGCAATAGCGTCTTGGACAAACCGAATGACGGCTTGTCTGCGCTGCACGAAGTTGATTGCGTCCGAGCTGAACTCGTTCAGCTCGTTTCCAGCAGTAGGCCCGGCCTCTGCGTTCGTCTTCGCGGTGTCTGTGTCCTGCACAGACCCGTTCTTCTTTTTCTTCTTCCTCTTGCCGGCGTCTGTGCCCTGCACAGACGCGTTCTTCTTCTTGAGCGTGGTCGCGGCTGACACTATGCAAGTGTCAGCGGCAGTCTTCGGCTGCTGCGTTGCAGTCGGAGATCCTCCCCCATTTAAGGAAGGAGCCACCATCCCGAGTAGATTCGGGAGGCGTGGGCGCCTCATGACATTCACGTAAAACGGCGTATGCCCGGTCGAGGCATGCACCGAGTTGTTTATGGCGAACTCCGCCATCGGCAGGCACTCGCTCCAGTGTTGGAACGAGTGAGCGTAGCTCTTAAGCACGTCTACGAGCACGCGGTTCACGCGCTCGGTCTGCCCGTCCGTCTGCGGATGGTCCGCAGTCGACATCGAAAGTTGACTCCCAAGAAGTGTAAACACTTCTTGCCAAAGGTGTGCAGTGAAGCGCTGGCCTCGATCCGACACAGTGTCGATCGGCATACCATGGTTTTTGAACACCATGTCAACGAACAGACGCGCCGTCTGCTTCGCAGTCACTTCAGCGGGTACCGCAGCAAGATGTACCATCTTGCTGAAGCGGTCAACAAAGACCACAACGCCCGTGTTCCCCTGGCTGTCCGGGGGAAGACCGAACACGAAGTCCAAAGACATGGACTGCCGTCACTCCGACGGAGTCGGCAGTGACTGCAAGGGAGCCTGCGCGAACGGCGAAGGCTTCACACGTTGACAAACCTCGCAAGCACGGACGTACTTGCGCGTGAGAAGACGATATGTCTTCCCACGGCCCGGATGCCCCCCAGCCGGTGCATCGTGATGCTCGTACATGATCCTGAGTCGCCAGGTCGTGGTCATTGGGCACGACCACGCGGTCCGCGTTGTCGTCAACTGCACTGTAGAGTAGTAAGCCATCGTGCACCCGATAGCGGTGTGCACGAGCACGAAGATGTTTCGGCAGCTTCTGACGAGCTTTGTCAGAAGGAGCTGAGCCATAGGCCAGCAAGAGCTTTGCGTCCGCGTCGTGCGCGGACGCGGCCTTCACGACATCTAGTAGCGACGACATGGCAGGGCTCGATCGCATGGCGTCAATGGCATAGACGTCGACTTCATCCTTAGCGTAGTCAGGTCGACGCGATAACGCGTCGGCCACCATGAGTCTTCCGGGTTTGTGCTCAACCCGGAAGTTGTATCCCGCGAAGAAGGATAGCCATCTCGCCATCCTTTGCGAGATGTGCGGCGACTTCACAGCCGTCCGCAGCGACACGTGGTCTGTGAAGACCACGAACGGTTTGCTTCCGAGTAGATACACTCGGAACACTCCGCGAGTGCGTACTTCATGGCAAGGAGCTCCTTGTCATGTACCGGGTAGTTGTGCTCAGCTGGCCACCGATACCATGTAGTTGTTTCCTGGACCTTGCTTATATCGCAAGATCTACAAACATCTACGTCACAAAGCGATATAATTGATGACTCACATAGTATGTATTCGAATGCCACTCTGTAGGTGTTTCTGGTTTTGTGGGTAGAACAATCAGGCTCGCGTAACGAAACCACTTTCGAGCTCTCCCGGAATCTATCTTGATTTCTCAACAGCGTTTTCCGTGTTAAAAATTTAGAATTCATCGGCTTCGAAGCACCTGCTAACTATTAGCACTTGGTGCCGCCAACGCAACATGGTCACTATGTGCTACTCTCCATATATCAAAATGGAGGTTTCCATTGAGTTATATAAAGCCCACATGTGTAGTTTGGATCATCCCTTGACTTAGTTCGTGCTCGGCACTTGTCGCTTCGCGCTTGTCCTGTTCAGCCGTCAATAAGGCTTGGGCCTCGCTGCTGTCATCCTGTACAAGCAACCCCCTACTAGCTACAATGGACGGAAAGGCAACTTGGCTGAGTAGGCGTTCGTGTTAACCGGATAAGCTCACGACCACTGCTCAAGTATAAGCGTATCGCCACAAATGCGGGCTTAGAGAATGTAAGCACTGCAGTTCGAACCTCATACAGCCCCCCTGGCCTGCTGTAGGTCGGTTACGCACTACTTCATACTAACCTCGACTAACCTCAAAGTGCTGGATTCAAAATAACTCACGCGAGTAAATCTGAAATACTGGATTCAGAATAACTCGCGCGAGTTAATCTGAAATGCTGGATTCAGAATAACTCGCGCGAGTTAATTTGATATTTACTCTTGATCTGATTAAATCTGATACCTAAAATGATTGGTCATATACGGCTGACTATCATTCGAGAATTCCCCCTCCCTTCCCCCCTTTTCCGAATGAAGAGGCGGACGTCTGCCACCGAAGACTCACGGGACGACCGCAATGTCCTTACAGAGCCGAAGGACGGTCGTGACGATCCAGGCGACAGCATCTTGAAGGCTTCAGCAAATGAGACGGAACCAGAACCCAATGCAGAGGCCGAGGCGGACAGCGCCTCGATGATCTCAGCAACAGACCCGGAGGGTCATTAATTTCTACGAGCCCTGGGGAGAGCCGGGCGCCTGGGCTCTTGGGTGAACCCAAAAAGTCGCGAGCTCGGGCTCCTGGGCTCTTGAGTTCAATAGGTTAAGTGAAAGGAGCCCTCCAGAACTGTGAGCCCTCGTTAAGGGCTCCCCCCTCACCTGTGTTAACTATCTCGCTGATGATTGGCCGTCATTGAAGTATCTCCAGGTTCTAACCTGAAAAGGCATTGGAAAGAGGGCTTCTCCTTGAGGGGAAGGAAGGACGATCGGCGACGCTGGGGTGGCCTCGGAGCGGCTGTACACATATGAGCGGCGCGAGATCTGCTAGTGTGGCGATCTTTGAGCTCGATCTTCTAGCGTGGCGCATCGATCACGCGAAGTTGCTCGCCTTAAGTCTAGGTAAAATTGGCCAATCAGATATTACTATGAAGAGCCCGTCATAGATTTGAAGCTAAATTTGGGGAGCCAGGGCTCCTTGATCTCGTACTTACCATGAGGGAGACCATTTTGTGCGACTTTTGGCTCTCGTATTAGGGGGAGCCCACTTTTGAAGTTGACGGGCTCGGGCTCGTAGAAGGTGTGATGCGGTCATTACTTTACAGTTAGCCAGGTTTCGTTCATCCCAGGATACACGTCGTGCACCGTATCGCGCACTTTTGACTGGCTGGTACTGTACGAGCTTGTAGAGTGCCCCGCCGTCTTGCTCTCACTTCTCATTTTGCGAAGCTCCCAATAGCTGTTTCAAGAATCTCCCAGGGCAGCAGCTATGTTTGCCCAACGCATTGTGTTGCTGGCTGTCATTTTCCTTCTCTGGGAGATCAATGCGTACCGCCTTCACATACTCATCGCGGCGCTGGTGACGCAGGACGCAACTATCCCAAAATTACTGATCCAATTACCTGGGCT